CTAAAAAAATAAAAAAACTAGCTTCTCCAAATCCTAGGCCAAAAAAGTCTCCTTTTTCATTATTTCTTCTTCCTTGTCCGATGACCTTTTGAACCTAAGATTAGTTGTTGTCGTCTCCCTCTCCCTCCTCTATGCAGCAAAATGCGCTTCAAAATTATACACTGTTGTCAGAAACTCTCCATTAAAGTTCCAAATATTTTTTAGAAGATTGCTACCACAATTAGTCATTCAAATTATTATACAAAATGTTAACAGCGAAGGCAAAGGAAATCCATTAGAATTAATAACTGGTTAAGAACTACAAATGATTCATATACATATAATTACTTCAAACATAATCATGATAGACAAGTGATTTTGAATAACCTGTATCTATTACAAAACATTTCAGCCACTAACATGTTAGATTTAACGTTTGGCTGCCATTGGTAATGTGCGTAGTCACATCTGAAAAAGCAAACAGGCATATTTCTTGCGATCACACATAAGAAGAATTGGACACCTCCCCTTGACTAAGAAGCATCACTGATAAATGAAGAGCAAATTATGACTCAAAGGTCATTTGCAAGTTCTTTTAAATATTTAAATATTTTTATAAAAATAACAAAAGTATAATGATGAAATGTATATGAAGAAAATTCAAAAATCCAAATGGAAGAACTGCTAAGTAAAGAACGAAGGGGTTTGTACTTGAGATGCACCATAGCCGTTATTCTCACTGAAGAAACGAACAGGGAAGATCTTGAAGGAGGATTTCAAGCAAGGAGACGTACAACTGCCAAACTTTGGGATAAAAACAACATCATCATCCATCTCTCTGCTTCTCCCAATCAGTGATGTAAATCCCCATCTGATTATTGCTTCCTACACACTTGTCCCTGGTGGCTCTCATCTCTTCAAAGAGGAGGGGGATCTAGCGATTGAAGCGAGGGCAAAGCCTCAAAGATCACAACCCCATAATGTTGCTGGAATTGGAGAGGATGCGGGAATATTCAGCAAAAAGTTCAAAGGATAAGGCGGAACCAAGTGATACTCATACGACGACGCACTAGACAAAGAGAAGAATGGAGTAGAGAAGAAAGAGGATACGTCCACATAAACAAACTCAGTTGGTACTTCTCAAACTTAGGAGGGAGAAGACAACATTTGAAAATTTGAATTTCAAATTTGAATCAATGACAAAGATAGAGGAAAAAATTTCAATAGTTAGATAAAGCAAAGGACCCAGCTTGATGATGAGATTGTAGTCTTCTTTGATTTGCTACTCTGCTATTTGCCTTTTCATTGTAACACTGTCATGAAAATGGAAAGGAAACACTGTGCAGAAGTTTTTTTTTAATAATTTTATTCTCAGTGAACACAAAATTAGGCAAGAGGCTGTGACAGAGACTGTAAAAAGTAGGAACTTTCATACTGTAAAGTATATAGAATGACACTCCAAAATTAGGTAGGAGAAATTCAAATTTGCTAGCTCAGTCAAGAAGCCCAATGCATCCTTACAAGCTTAGGGTGTGTTTGGGATGGTGTTTGGACCCCCAAACACGCATCCTAATCGGAAAAGTTACAGATGGGGCAAAAAACATGTTTGGTTCCACTTTTTTTGAATCTAACTTTTGGGATGTGAATGAACTTCTGCAAGAAGCTATTCAAAGCTGCTTTTACAGGGCGTTTGACAATATCGTTTGAATTTGCTACCTAAAATTTTCTCTCACCTGAGATAAGACAAAACGAGACATAAAAAATATAACAAAGGCCTCCCCAGCGTCTTCTTTATTTTTAATAATACTCCTTTCAGTTTAAAATATAAACTAAATTTTGTTTGAAGACGCTTAATTTTTTTATAAGATAATATTTACTTTTGTATAAGTATTTAATGAGGTTTTTTTCTTTTCAATTTTACCTCTATAAATTCTCTTTCTTCTTTAATTCATTTATTGCATCATTTCCTTATTCTTTTCATTAATAAAGATATATTTGAAAAAATAAACATATGCCTTACATATTTATTATTTTAAATTAATTTTAACTAGTTTCTTGATAAACATAAATAGATAAAGTTTAACTTATATTTTGAACCAGATGGAGTATTATTTTCCTTCTTTTAAAATGGTCACATTATTAAATATGTACTACTTAATAAAATTCATGTCCTTTTAAGTCATTTTGTATCCAAACTTATTTTTACATTTATCATCTAAACAAGTTTCAACTTCTCGAACTGATTTTTTTTCAAAACCCAATCCAAATATAAATTACATTACCCTATCTGACTTTTACTCAATCTGACTTCTGCAGAAGTGAGATTGAAAAAAAGTTACTTCTACTACCGCTATCCCAAACACACCCTTAGGCAGCTTTAATAAAGCCGTATGTTTTTTTTTTTTTTTCGGCCTTAAGCCGTTAACCGCAAGTTTGTGGGGGGAGCCAAGATGGAGCCGCCGTGACATGAAACCGGCTTGGGGGAAGAGATTTATATGATACAGTATACTGAATATTAATGATGATTGATTCCACTTTTTGTGCCAGCGAGATACTTACAGATCTAATCCGAAAAAAACTTTCCATGTCAATTCAGTAAAAATATGCGGCCGAGCATACTGGGAAAAGTAAAGAGAAATTTCATTTAAGAACCGCAATAACAGCCCCAAAACATTTGAAAACTTTAGTCAATCCTCTTGACCCAAAATGAAATTAAAATTTAAAGATAAAATTACAATACTACCCTTTTTTCTATTTTTTTTAAAAATAAATATTAATAGTCATTAAAACTCCGGCCCCACGGCACTTAGGTGGCTGGTGCCCGAGGTTGGAGCTCCAGTGGCCAGCTACTGAACTTCGATAGCTGAAGGATTTTTTTTTATATAAAAAAAAGTGGCCAAGGAGAAGTTTGAACCCCATGACTTCTTGGCACACCAAAAGTAATATAATTACCAAACCAACCAAACCATTTAGTTATGTAATGCAAAGAAATATATATGACAAAACAAATACAAGTGTCCAAGTGTAAATGAACAGCAAAATTTGACAATTTACAAGTAAAATTCAGCAATTCATAATAAAAATTTGGTGATTTACAAGTAACATAATGGGATTCAAAATTCTAAATACAAGTGTTTATATATGAATGAGCAAGTGATATTCGAAGATTTACCATAGGAATTCATGAATTTATCACCTAAGTTCGGCGATTTACAAAAAGTATAAGGAAATTTGTAATCCCAAATGTAAGTATTTAAGTATGAATGAATGAGTGAAATTTAGTAATTTACAACAAAAATTCAAAGATTCACAACTTAAATTCAAAGATTCACAGGAAACATAAATATTACAAAACTTATAAGAGAATTGGCAACCTCAAAATTTTTGCTAATTAAGGCACTAAAGCTTTAATTCAGGGAGGTTCACTGCTTCCAGTGACATTAAGTGAAAACTGGAATCCTCGTAGTTTTGCTAATTAAGGCTCGGTAGAATAAAAAAGAATATGTAACATTGCATTAGAATTAATTACATATTGCTTGTGTTTAATTTCTGTTTCTTCATAATGCTAATGATCTTAAGTTAGCTCTTTTACCCATTTTGTGTCCACCAGATACATTGTAATATAATTATATTATAATTTTTCACAACGAATTAGATATTAAAATTTAACAGATCATAATGAATAAGTGGAGAGGTTAAAAATAAATAAATCTAGATATTTGAAGCACAATTTAAATTAATACACAATGCGTCTAAGAAGCATAACAGAATTCACAACCAAAATGAAACTTCCCTGAATATAAGCTTCTGTGAATTAATTAGCAAAACTTTTGAGATTGGGAATTCTCTTATAAGTTTTGTAATATTTATGTTTCCTTTAAATATCTAAATTTGAGTTGTAAATAGCTGAATTTTTGCTATAAATTGATAAATTTCACTTGTTCATTCACACTCAAACTATTACATTTGGGGTTGCGAATTTTCTTATGTTTCTTATAAATCGTCGAATTTGAGTTATAAATCCATGAATTTTTTGTTGTAAATCTTTGAATATCATTTGCTCATTCACACATAAACACTTGTATTTAAAGTTTTGAATTCCATTATGTTACTTGTAAATCGCCGAATTTTTGTTGTGAATTGATAAATTTTACTTGCAAATCATCAGTTTTACTTGTTCATTTATACTTGGACACTTATATATATTTTGTTATATATATGTATTTCTTTCCATTATATAATTAAATAGTTTGATTGGCTTGATGGTTAAATTATTTTTAGTATGTCAAGGGGTTATGAGTTTAAATCCCCTCTTGACCATTTTATTTTATAAAAAACAAAAAATCTTTCAACCACTAGAGTCGGTGACCTCTAATGCGCATTAATTAGTTACTACAGTACTTAAATGAAATTTTTCCAAAAGTAAAACACCCACTTGGCATTTGGATTCAGCACATTGGAAGGCATTCTCATGTGCAATGCCCAGCAGATTTTGCTGGCCAGACGATTCCAATGTGAGAACACAAGCTCGCAGCCGAGTGGAAAAATGGAAGCACAAAACGTCCATTTGGTCTCATTAATATTATTAGTAATAATCAATTAAATTTTACTAAACGCTCACTCAATACGAAGGGTATCCCAGTGAAGATGGTTAGCGACCATAAATTTCTTCAAAGAAAACTAATAGAAATAAGCGGTTTTTGCCAATAATAGCAAGAATGAGATGAGAGTGAAAGATTATGAGGCTGTTTAACAACTCTTAAAAATGCTTCAAAACTACTTTTCCAGAAACACTTTTTCGTAAAACGAAACAAACTTCTTCACATATTTACTTTGTAAACCATAAAAGTACTTCTAAAACTATAACTTGATTTCTATCCAAACACTCGAAAACATTAAAAGGGTGTTTGGGTAAAATCAAAACCATAGTTTCAGAAGTACTTTTACGGTATACAAAGTAAATGTGTGGAGGAATTTATCTTGATTTACGAAAAAGTACTTCTGAAATGTGATTCTTGAGAATCCAAACACCCCCTAGAATCCAGTATCGAAACCAAGATTGAACAAGAAGATTGAGGCACTTGCTTAACACAGAGTAAGACAGCGATGACCAAGTCTTTACGAAAAGGAAAGAACTGCAAAACATAACAGAAACACTAAAAGACGGCAAAAGGCACAAGATGAACTACGAAGAACAGACCCAGTGCCTTCGAACGCATATGAACCCTAATAGTAGTTGATGCGCTTGCTGGAGGAGGATTTTGCAGTAGTTTGATAAACAACCTTCTTGACTTTCACCTGAGTCTGGTGCTCGATAGTGATTCCTTGCCCCTTAGCAGTCACTTTGACGGTTGAAGTAGTCCTTGCCTCCTGCTTGTATCCAACGCTTTTAGATTTAGTCACGTAATCCCCAGATTTGCGAGTCTCAATGCAGCGATTTGAGACCTTGTTGTCTTTGTAATCTGTGCGTGACATCCTAGTGTGACTTTTCTGAGAGTGCTTAGATTGGTTTGAAGTCGGTCCCTTGCTAGGAACAACCTTCGCATATCCGGTGAACGCAATAACCTTGCCGTTCTTCGCCATGGTTCCTTTGTTACTGAGAATAAAACAAAACAAGTCATCTTACAGAAAGAGTGGTTCTATAATTTTTAAATGATATTGATGAAGATGCAAGAGGACTTCAAAGCAGATGGCGCTTATCAGCTTAATATTTTAAGCGATTCATCACGTTGCCATTTAATTTCTCAGACCATAGATAACATTAGCAGTTCAAGCAATCAGTTACAACTTCTGTTTTAGCCAAGACTCGGTACAAGAGACACAAGAGAAAATGATGCAAATATATCAGTTCATGAAAAGAAGAATCTGACCGATTGTCAAGACAAAACTAAACAAATGCAACATACATCTTCCAGAAAATGATCAAAATATCAACAAAATAGTTTATGAAACAGTTTAAATCTAACAGAAGACCATGAATCCGAGGAGAACTAATATTTTTCTCGCGTAAAAACCTTGCTTAGCCAAAGAAGAGAAAGAGTTTGAGGAAAGAGCGAGGAACAAGAAACCACATATCGCATAAAGGACGAGGCAGAGACAACGCAACAGTACCAAAGAGAAGGCCTTTAAGGCGGCCATCCAGCACAAAGGCCGTCAATCACGGGGTGAAATCGTACTGCTATATTAAATTAAATTAAAATTAAAAAGTAATCAGTGCGTCCAGGGTCTGGCTAATTGCTTTATTTTGCCGACACTGGGAAGCTTCCAGGAAATAGCTATATAATTATATAATTTTACCATTTATTTAGTATATAATTATACAATTTTCAAATGTGAGACATCATGTCTCATGGTAGACTGCTATTTTATTGGAAGTGTATTTATACTGAATAAAATTAAAAAATTATTAAACCTTGAGAAAGAGTTAAGTTTAAGGTTTTTTTATTTCAATAAAACTCACTAAAAGTAACTTATAAATAAAGGTTAATGAAGTAATTAATGATATAAAGTAGTTGTTATTAGTTCTTAACTAATAATTATGTGAATATAAACCCTTAGCTTTAGATGTTTGAGTTGTAAAATTTGAAGTTTCAATGGTAAGCGGACCATTATTTTAGATTCATTGTTTTACAAGGTTCTTAATTTATATTTTCTCAAAAAAATTATATGAATATAATAGAATTTTATAATTTTCGGATGTTTAATGCAAATTTTTGTCTAGGATGTAGGATGCAATTGAAAAACACGGTATTAGTTATAGGAATATGATATATTTGAGTCATTTCATTTTAGAAATAATTTTGGCATTTTTTTTTATATTTTTTTTGGCCTAAAAAATTTTAGGCAGGGTCAGGCTCAACTCAAATTAAGAGTGGGGCGCTTGAATGACTCCTTCTAAATGATACTAATATTGGATAGGGTGAACATTATACCCTCATATGTTAACCTAGGCACCCCGTTTTAGGATACCTCCCCAAACCTCCTCTTTTTTGGATGAGAGGGTGTAGTTCTTGCCTCTAAACTCACAAATGATTTTTTTTTAATTTTTTACTCCAACTTCTTTCTTATAGACTAGCAGACCAATTCAAATTCAATGAATGATTTATATGTGCCTACAATTCACAAAATGCAACATATAGGTTTTTTAGTTGAAACAAACATGACTGCTAAAAAAGAATAAGAAACCTGGGACAGGCTTGTAACAAAAAAAAATTTGTATATATACCTAGCTTTTCCAACGTGTGAGAGACTTTGGAGATTTCTGCCATTGACGAGAGGAACTCCCACAAGTGCCTGTAATTTTCCATGAAACACTTGGCATTTAATTAAAAAAAGAAGACTGGCCTCTATTAATGGATCATTGAGTGGTCTCATAGTAATTCTATATTCAATTATTATATAGAAATGACAGTTAATTATCTAAATTAAAAGAACATTTATATATACGTACTAATAAGATAGTAGGAAGCAAAAATAGATGGATTAAGAGGAAACCGGATGGGGAGAGCTAGAGATTTTCACTTTGAATTTGAAATTTGATTCATTATTTGCATGGCCTATTGTGATGTTGGTATTGTGAATTATTATAAGCCAGCTGTCTTGGTCAATTTTCTTTGAAAGTTGACCGCAAAGCAAAGCCTCCTCAACAATACTTCCGTTTAATTCACTCAGAAACATCACACGTGTTGCCTTGTGCCCATGTCGTTGTCAGATGATGACGTTATTGCTGTCATACTGTGTTAGTACTGAAAATGAAAACTTACAAGCAGAAAAATAGAGAAAAAATCTCACAAAAAGGAGTTAAAGTTACTATAGTGCAAATAAAGAATTCTTATAAAAATATGCTGTTATTTATAATTTTATTATGATCAAAATCTATTAAAATATTATTATCAAATCTGATTTAAGATTTAATAATTTAAAATTTTTTTTGTGGGATTCTTTCTAAAAAAAATAACATCCTAATTTCCTTTGACAAAATCGTGTAACTAATAACAAATTATGCCCATACTTGAAAATAACGTGTGCGAGCGATTGCTTTGCCAACTGGAGCCTCCCTCTTGAATTCTTTTGAGATTAATTGTGATGATGCTTTCTGCAAAACTAATGACAAAGCTGGTATTGGGGTGATTTGTAGGAATTCAGAGAAATCTATTAATATATTAAAGTAGAATATAAGACATGAGTAGCTGACAGCACGACGCGTGACATCATCAATAATAAGATAAATGTTTTTTCTTTTCTTTAAAAAAAAAAAGGCCACACCCCATGTTTTGGATCATACACTATGAAATGTGGGTGGATAGTTTCATTATAAATGTGGGCACGATTTATAGAACCGCTTATGTATGACACGAAAAAAAAAAAAAAAGATCCCATGTTTCAGATTTATTTCTAATTTATGATTACAAGTAATTTTGAATGTGTGTAGTTTTCTAAATATATGCTAGCTAATAAATTAAAATATCATCCATTTTAAGGGGTGAACGTGGACAGTTTTTTGACCAAAACATGTTTGCATTATGCCACGTGACAGGCTTTTCTCAAAAATAAATATACTGAATTTTTATATGCAAAAAATATGCAGATATCATGTTACAAATTTATTTTTAATTTCCTCATTTCAAGTAATTTTGAACATGGGCTATTTTTTCAATATATGGTGGCTGTTAAATTAAAAAAATTATCTCTTTTAAGTTTGAACGTGCGCATTTTTTTAATTATACTTAAGTGAAGTAATATTTTTTGTTTAGTTAGGATCATTAATTTCAAAAAAGGTGCCGTTGGGGGAACTGCATGCTAACAGCATGCCACGTGACACACTGCCATCATAGATACATAAGAAATTTTTTTTAATAAAAATGAAAATTTGAAGAAATCTCTGTGGTTGTGACTTTTGCCGTATTTTAAGGCTTTATTTTGGATAGTTTTCTGATTTTAAGTTAATATTTTATATTTTAAATTAATTTAATTAATATTTTAAATTTTGAATTAAAACTAATATTTCATTAAAAAGCAACAATTGGTTACTCTTTGGGTTCAAATTAATATTTCAAATTTTAAATTACATTTAATAATATTTCAAATACAACAACAACAAGCCTTATCCCACTAGGTGGGGTTGGCTACATGAATCACACGACGCCATCGTGCTCTATCAACAACCCAGTCCTTAGATATGTTGTTGACTAGGAGATCTCATTTAATGACCTCATTAAGCGTTCTTCTTGGTCTTCCTCTGTTCCTTTTTATGAGACTCCATCTTGTCTGATCCGCCCTCCTCACCGGGGCCTCCAATGGCCTTCTCTGCACATGTTCAAACCATCTTAAGCGATTTTCAACCATTTTCTCTTGGATAGGTGCCACACCGACTCTTGCTCTGATATTTTCATTTCGAATCCTATCTTTTCTTGTATGACCACATATCCATCTCAACATCCTCATTTCTGCTACCCCAATTTTGTGTTCTTGTTTTCCCTTTATTGCGTAACATTCACTACCATACAACATAGCCGGTCTTATAGCAGTCTAATAAAATTTTCCTTTAAGTTTCTCAGGTACCTTCTTATCGCAAATAACTCCGGTAGCTTTCCTCCACTTTAACCAGCCAGTTTGTATTTTATGAGAAACGTCTCCATCAATTTCCCCATCCTCCTGTATAATGCATCCTAGGTATTTAAACTTTGATATTTGAGGAATGATTTGCTCCCCCATCTTCACCTCCAAATCCCCATTGTCTTGCCTTCCCCCAAAATCACAATGCATATATTCTGTTTTGTTCCTGCTCAAGTGGAAACCTTTCGACTCCAACGTCCTTCTCCATAACTCCAATCTAGTGTTAATCTCTTTTTTTGATTCCTCCATGAGAACTATATCATCCGTGAAAAGCATGGACTTAGGAATTCTTTCTTGAATAGGTTCAATTAGAACATCCAAAACAATGTTGAACAAGTACGGACTCAAAGAGGATCCCTGATATAGGCCAATCTGAATAGGGAAGTCCTTTGTCTCACCTCCAGGCATTCTTACACTGGTAGTTACCCCCTCATACATATCTTGTATGACTTTGATATAAGTAACCCGTACACCTTTTTTTTTTCTTCCAAAACCTTCCACATTACTTCTCTTGGCACACGATCGTAAGCCTTTTCTAAGTCAATAAAGAACATATGCAAATCTCTTCTTTTACTTCTATATCTTTCCATTAACCCTCTTAGTAAATAGATTGCTTCCGAAGTGGATCTCCCTGGCATAAATCCAAATTGGTTTTCTGAAATAGAAGTCTCCAGCCTCAACCTATATTCCATCACTTTTTCCCACAACTTCATTGTATGACTCATAAGTTTTATCTGTCTATAGCTTGCACAGTTTTGAATGTCTCCTTTATTCTTGTAAATAGGAACTAAAATGCTTCTCCTCCACTCATCCGGCATATTCTTAGAGCGTAAAATTTCATTAAAAAGCTTGGTTAGCCACACTTCACCCTCATCTCCCAGACATTTCCAAACTTCAATAGGGATACCATAAGGCCCAATGGCTTTTCTATTGTCCATTTTCTTGAGAGTTGCCTTAACCTCTCCGATACGGATCCTGCGGTAGAAAGCCAAATTTTGATCATCTTCATTAATTAGCAAGTCCTGTAAGTCCTGAGTCGCATAATTGCTTCCCTCATTAAACAACTTGTAAAAATAGGCCTCCCATCTGTCCTTAGTATCACCATCAGTAACTAACACTTTACCATCTTCATCCTTTATACACTTTACTTGGTCCAAATCTCTCTTTTTCCTCTCCCTTTGCTTCGCAATCTTGTAAATATTTCTTTCTCCCGTCTTTGTTCCTAACTCCTGATAAAACCCTTCATAAGCTTTAGTACGTGCTTCGCTCACTGCTTTCTTCGTCTCTTTTTTAGCCAACTGATACTTTTCTCAGTTTTCTACACTATTGCACGAGTGTATGACCTTAAAACAATATCTTTTCTGTTTGACTTTCTCTTGCACACTCTTATCCCACCACCAAGTCTCCTTATCTCTCTGACCAGGACCTTTGGATTCTCCCAAAATTTCTTTACCTACCAAACGAACCCTTATAGCTATCTCTTCCCACATCATGTTTGCATTTCCCTGCGACTCCCAAATCCCTTCCTCCATG